TTCAAGGAATAGAATATAAGTTCTTCTTAAATTCTTAAAATACTTTCTTCGTTCTTCCCCCCATTTCTTCTTATTTCTTCTTGCCAATAAAATAAAATTGTTTAAAAATGGTTAATAACACCTAAATTTCTTATTTTGTCATTATTTATTTAGCTTACATCATTCATTGTTCAAATCTGGAGTTGTCATCGTCATCGTTATAGTCGCCTCAAAGATTTAAAGCCTCAATAGTTCATTTGTTTATTCATTCAAACTTACTCAAATTCATTCATTCACAAATAAATAAATAAATAAATAATCTTTACTCGCGTTGATCTATTCCTTTTCTTCTTCATGGCATTCCAATTTTTGTTGTTTTTTTTCGAGAAATAATTTATCTTTTTTTGTAATTTTTTCTGCATCTTTTTGACTCACCGTTATATTGCATATTTGTTTGTCCTTTTGGCGTGGCTTCTTTTTTTTGGGGGAGAGGCTAAACAGTTTTTTCTTCTTTTTTATTATTTCTTTGACGTGTTTTTATCCAATTGGATAATTTATAATTTTAGAAGAAAGGAAGGAAAGAAAGAATTATGGTGGAGTCATAATTTCTGCTCTATAGAAAATTAATGAGGTAAAATAATTGCTTGGCACACCTTTTTTAAAAATTAACTTAAAAATCACTATTAGAGTTATAGAGAATACATAGAATAATTAAGTAATTTTTGGCTTGAATGGAAGGAGAGTTGTTTGCGTGTAACAACAAATAATACTACAAATTAGTTGAGATTTCTATATCTAGTACCATTAATTTCAGGTATTAATTTTTGCTGTGCATAATAACAAATAATATTCCTCCCACGCCAATGCAAGCGCCTTCCCGCTGTTAAATCCAACATGGTTGGCTTTTAGTGTGACTAAATAATTATCATTACATTACAGCAATAGCAATAATAACAATCAAGGCGATGAAGATTTACAAATTAATTAATTATTCAAACTATCCAAAATAAAATCCAAAATTACCTCTCCTCATCGGTTCAACTTTTCCTTTTCTCCATAATCAGCACTGTATACTGTAACATAAAAAATTATTCTGTGTAGCAAATTGTTACATGATTAGAATAGCTGTGTTTGACATGGATATATATATAAAGTTGAAAACTTTACATTGGTATATAATGATGATCTCTTATTTAAAGCAATCTTAAGTTTCCCTTTGATCTGAAACTTGCCCCTGTCACTAAGTTAATGGTGCCTTTCATGATTACTTTTCAGGGACGATGGACCCTGAACATAGTAACACCTTGAAAAATAAAGAAAGAACACAGTTTTGATAAAGTCTACAGCTCTCACACCGGCCTGAATTTTCCATTTCGTCATATCCTTCAGGTTAAGGGAAACCATATTAGCTTTTTTGTAGTAGGAGAAATATCAAAATAACATGACCATTAAAATTGGAAAGACCGCTTCCAACCAAGTAGATTGACATGAAAAATGTATATTCGTGATCATAATCTTTTATTGGTGAGTCAAACACATACATATTAATATATAGATACGTTGAACTGTTACTTTATGTAAAATTAAATTATCTGATGATTTTCATATGTATATTTTTACTAGATTCTTTTTCAGATATTAATTTAAAAGCCTTAAAAGGTGGCTGAGAAGGTGCAAAAAATATTGTAAGCCTTCATATGGTATTATTACTTTATGGGAACATAGAAGAATTATGATAAAGTCACGTTGGCCTTTTATCAGCCATTCTATGGTGCAAAGATATCTAATAATAAAGATTAAGCTTATTAGATGAATATCAATATCCAGTAGCTTAATCGTTAGAACGAATACTACTAATGGATTATTAAAAGCATGATAATGAATGACCTTGTATTAAATTTATTGTCAAAAAAAAAAAAGTTCCTCAAGAAAAGAACCCAAGTGAGCTTCTATTTTTTAAACAAACTAAATAGTTAATAAAAAGTACAAATACGTTTGTTGGTGCGTTACCTTCAGGTTATCAAACAAAAAATTGGACCGATTTAAATAAATTTTGCGACTTAATTATAACATTATTTAAAAATCGCTAGGTGATAATTGTATTTATTGCTTAGTATCAGAATATTATTAGAATAGAAGATATTATGATAATGACAAAATTAAACGAGCCATTGGAGTCTTTACAACAAACAAATCGTAATAATTCACCCAAATTTTATGTTAAAAGATATTTTTATTGGGAGGCAACAAAATTTTGGGTAAACAATGTTTCTTTGCAAAAATGCAAGGCTAATCTAGAACGAAATAAATTTATTAATTAATAAAACTTGGTTTAATGGATAAAATAAATCGATTAATTGATTAATAATAATAACACTATATGACAGATACTAGACAAGTTTACGTAGAACGTAAATAATTAATTGGTTAAAAGGTCTATCTAAATTTGATAGAGTTCTACTCTTGGTTAATGGTATTAGTATTGTTCCGAATAAGAACGGGAAAATCAAGATAGCGATGATTAATAAAGTTAAACATTTTTTCAACATTATTTAACTCAATTTTATGTATATGTTGGCCGAGATGAATTTATCAATCAAAGTAAGGCTGGTTGAGGTGCACTTTAATCAACTACTCTACATGTTTGACCACAACATGCCCAGAGTTAAACTCATTATCAACAACGTCGCAAGGCGCACCATCAAATTTGCATATAGTTGTAGTTGTCGTGGTTGTAGTGGTGGTGGTGAGAACAGTTGTAGTTATATCATTTGGACTTGGTCTTTGTCTTAATTTTGGTCTTAGTGATGGTTTCAGTATTTTAATCGGGGGATATTGCTATCGTAGTGTTGGTAATGTGCTTCAATATTTGATGTCAGCAAACAAAAATAAATAACAAAAAGAACGTGGAAAATACATTGTGTGTGTGAATGATGGCTTGCTAAAATTAAATAATTGTGTGTTTTAAATAAATGGTAAGTTATTGATTGGTATCGAAGAAAACAGGTCGTATATATATATATGAATAGTAAATTGTTTTTGTTTATAAAAATTATACACACTTGACTTTCTATTTCCCTCAAGGAAGGTAGGCATCAAGTGAAACTAATTTCTCAAAGATTAAAAGTATGCAGGAAGGACATAAAATCTGACAAGTCCTTCATACTTGCTTGAGTGGGCGAAAAGGCTCTCGATTTCGAGTTATAACGAATTTATATACCTTGTTCTTTTTAATAAAATTAATAAAATCAATATAAATTAAATTGTCCACGTTTAAACTAATAATTCATATAAATCACAATGACATTTCATACAATGTACGAAATTTTTTTGAAGCCTCCTTGTACAGTACAATACATCCAATTAATTTTTAATGTCTATTTAATTAATCAAATTAGCAAAAACAACAGTAATTTTTTTAACATTTGAAATGTTTCTACTAATATTTATCTTGAGCATATAATAAAATTCTTTTAATATAATGATTTTTATAGTAATAAATATTATTTCTCCTTTCCAAATGTTTAATTAATATGGAATTATTGACATTTTTTAAAGTTGGTATAATATCCGTTAATTCTTTAAAACCTGCACGAATTGTATTTTGACGTTTTTGTTCAGAATTCTCTTTGGATTTTCTTAGTGCCATTGTTATCTGGAGTATAAATCATCCGAGTTGTCATTGTCGTGACTTGGTTATCAGATTCAGACCACAGAAAATCATTTATTGTTTTTGAACTTTCTAATAACAGAAGCTAATATGAAAATATTAATATTATTATATATTCTATATTTTTTGAGAATCTGCCTATTGCTATACAAACCTCATATTTTAATAAGCCTATCACTGTCTCGTGTGCTTTAAACATATCTTTCCATGTTTTAGGCATTGGAAATCTTAATATTTCTTCCATAGTGTAAATTTCAGAATAATTTAGTTTGAATTCATATATAATTAATTCAAATACTATAAATATCAATAATTAGTCAGTAAAAACAAGTGGTGATAACAAAATGATAATAATAAAATGGCAATGAAGATTTACAATATGATTGCATTCCGTATAACCTAACCATTCTAATGTCAGAACTTGGACGAATTTTTACAAGCCGATTGATTAAAGTTTTTAGCATTTTTGAAATCTTCATTCGATCACTTTTGAAATGGCTCCAGTTTTTTTTCAATGGAGGTCCACTTACTTCAATGACCGAAAAATCTTCATCTTCCTCCCTCAAAGTAATGATTGTATCGATTTTCCTTCCAGGAGATCGATTTTTATCGTCTGCTTTCTGGGAATTGCAATCTTCAGAGCTTGCCTTAAGGCATGTCTCGCCATATGTAGCACGCCATTTTTTTTTATGTTTTATAAAAATTTCATTAAGGATCGGTGTCAAAACATATACAATGTAACTTCCTTCAGACATAGGTTCGGAAACTAAATTAGTATCATTCTCCATCAGTTTTATCCTGTGTAAGCAAAGGTTAGTTTTATTATATTTATCTCATCAAGGATCAATCAAATATAGGAAAATACTCACATATGATTAACAAAATGCGATGTAAAATGGTTTTCAAATGAATCAGCCAAATGTTTTCCTAAATTTGTTTTAGTCTCATTTATCTCACGATTAACAATACTACACAATACTGACTTGACATTTTCATCATTTGTATATGCAATTTCTCTTTTGATATCATTGTGCATTTGTACAACTATATCTTCACCAAGCATCTTTAAAAAACCATCACTTTCTTTGTTACCAAAGAATATAATGTCATAACGCTCTGGTTTTGTTTTTGGTGGTTTTTGTTCTAACTGGTACTGTGTGAGCCTTTCTCGGATATCAATTCCATTTACTATCCAAGCAGAATTTTTTCCACCAACGATTGTTTCTACCGCATCATATTCTTCAATAACTTCTTCTTCTTCTTCAATGTCACAGTAATGATCATTTTTTTGTGAATGTTCGATTATAAAAGGATTTAGTAGAGGTTTTTTATAGACATATCTTTCCGTGACTTCATAATTATTTTCCAGTGGTGGTGTTTCTGTTCTTATGACCGTCTCTGGTGTAAACTTTATATTCAAATATTTGATGCTTTCACTATCATCAATGTCATTCTGCTGTTTGTTATCTTGCTGGTTATACTCCAATTCAGCTATATCCACAAATGAGTTTTCCTAAATTGGATATTGAATCAACTCACGAAGTCTGAAATAGTATTGGTCATCAAAACTGTTCAATATAACTTGCCTATTACTTACATAATTTCTTTCTTCATCGGATCTAAAAACATAAATACAAAGTCAAAATTTAGTATAATTGCAAAACATGTATTATAAACTAGAACAATGAGCTGCATGCAACCACCATTTTTTTGAATTACTCTCTTAACAATACTCACTCAACGAATTCTTTAATGTCTTTTTTCATTTTTTTTCCCTGTTTTTCACGAAAGTCATTTTCGTTTTTTTTTTAAATAATTTTGTCAGAATTGATAAAACAAGTTTAAAACATGTTTCCTAAAGTTCTTCTAATTCAGCATCTTTGATTTTTTCACTTACAGATTAGATTCATTATTGCTAGCACTAGATAAATAAAAAAAACAAAATTATATTATTATTATTATTATATATTAAAACTAGAGTAACGACGAGTGGCGGGCGATAACCCACCACCATCCTTAAAACACTTACCCACGTTCAGTTATTTCATCCTCTTGTCGTCTCTTATCTCTAGGCATTGTATGTATTTTCTTTATTCCCGCTCTTTTTAATTAGTTAATTGTTATCTTCTCGATTAAATAATTTCCTTTTTGATATATCAATTATTAATTATTATCAATGTGTTTTTCAATGATTCCAGTAATTCGTTGATAAGCTAATTAATAGAACAATTTTGACCGTTCCTGTTATATTAATCGGGTAATTTAATTTCATTCAATGCAATGATTCAATTTTTATTGTTAGAAAAAGAAGTTTGTAGAAAAAGTTTGTTAATTGATCAACTCGTACACACTAATTATTTATCCTATTGGTTTCTTTTTGGTAGGACAGACGCTAATTGATTTTTTTTTTTTTTTTTTTTGGAAAAACAAAAAAACAATTTGTTTTTTGACAGAGTCCAAGGTGACAAAACGCGAGTGTTGTTGTTTGGTTTGGTTTGGGTCTCCTAAAGAAACGTTAATAACTAACCAGATCTACTATTTTTTATTTGTATTGATATTTTTATTTTAGCTTATAAATATTTTAATTGGAATCAAAACGCGGAACAGATCTTACTGGGTAATTACAAGATTTTCATTGATAATATTTTGCTTTGCGTAATCATAACAATAATACTAATATTATATTATTATAATTACAAGATGTCAAGGCAGCATTGACTGTTGCAAAAGAAACAATTTGATATGCAACGTTTGATTATTGAAAATTTACAGATGTTGAAGCACGTATGCTACCTTGAACACATTACAGTCATTCTCACACATTCCTCATGTACAAAAGGTTAATCTGACTGCAAGGCCCCTGATGATACAATGATCCAACAGAATTCCAGGGGGGTGTAAGGCCCTGGAGTTTACTGAGGCTGCATCGATCGTCAATGACACTTTTCACTAATCTTCCCTCACAACACCCAGACCAGAGAAGGCTGGTATGCTAGACGAAAAGTTGCCTGCAACGATCCCACCTCTAGGGTAAGGATGGATCTGTGACCAAGCTGCAACTCTGCTGATGAATTGTAGTGCCATGTAAATATCCAGATCCATCAAAGCAAAGAGAATCTGCAACTTGTTTCAAGCACAGGAGATCACAATTCAGAGCAGGTTTGTGGCCCTGAAATTGCATTTGGGCTCTGATGTTATGAGGAAAGTTGTAAAATAGTGTTTGCTTTGTATAATCATTTTCATAAATGTTCTGTTTTTTTGATACTAACCAATTTAATAATTTTGGGTAGGGGATTGGATTGGGTTTTTGCCCAATCAGTTCTCTGTCCTGTAGGTTAAAATTAATATACATCTTAGTCAGCAATACGGCCAACAAAAAAAAAGTCATAAAATGGTTCAGATTTTGGTATGTTTTGTACAAGTTAATCATTTTCCCAAATCTCTGTTTCTCTTTAATTTTTATTTGATCAACTGAATTTGTTTTTCGAATGGGGGTAGGGCTGTTGGTGAGTAGGCATGCCACTGAAAAGACAGGAGATGCCTTTGAGATATATCAGCCAAACTCATAGAAAGAGATCTTTTGTCCAGACTAGGGTCACATGGATGTTAAGCACAGAAAATGTACACTATCAATGTATATTTTTTTCAACAACAAAATAAACATTTAAATAATTAATTGTTAAATATTAATACTTTTCTTTTCACAAAAATTACAGCAACCCAGGACTCAACTGAATTCAGGGAAAATCCAAAACAGCAATCCAAGGTTGCAACTCCTGAGCTGCTGAATTTTCAAGCCAGTCTTAACGCCAACTTTATTCTAGTGAGTGAGGGGTATAACACAAAGCAATCATCACATGAATGTCAACTCTCATCAGCAATCAATGCCCATATGGTAACAATCAAGCCTGGTTTGAGAGGAAGATAAGGAATGGTTTGACCAAAGCCTTCCAGCATGTTTAGGACTGTTTCACCTGTGGAAAAAAATATCCATGGTGCTGAATTGTGCTTAGTTGCACGGTCTTACATGTTTGTGACAGGAAGTTTTAATTAAATCTGACACATGCAATCAACATCAGATTTATTATTCATGAGCAACCATAATTGATAATCAGGAA